CCCTGTCCTTGTGGCCAGCTGCAGACGACCACCAAGTACTAGGTCAGGTAGCTCTCTAGAAGAAAGAGAGCCCCCCCAGGATTAGGGGAGGAAGCAACCTAAGACAGTGAGGAAAATAAATAAATAAGTGGCCGTGCAATAGTGCACTGGCCGGGCCCTGAGGCCTGTAGCAAAAACATTGCCCTGGACTTAGCCAAAAGGCCTAGCCCTAAAAGGTGCAGTGGCTTTAAAATGTTTGGAACTGTCACCATGTGCACTTTTCACACGTTGGATTCCATCCCCATGTGTTACTAAGAGCACCCCTAGGGTAACCACTCCCAGAGGGCACACTTCTGTGGTCTTTCTGCCTCTCTGGCCCCTGGCCAGACAAAGTAGACCCATTTGAATCAGGAGGAACTGGGCCCATCCGGCTTTCCTGGAGGAATTACTCCTGTGTCCCAACTGCCTGTGGGCTCCCTGGTTTCTGTTTCAGCTTGTACTAGCCTTCAGAGCCCCCATCATACCAGCAGGGGTACTATAGAGCCGGCCATTCTCACCAAAAGGCAAGAATGATAGCGGAGCGCCCCTACTGGACACTGATAGGAACAGATACTACACTTGATCTAAGCCAAAAGGTTGAGAAGCCCCAACAAGCTCATATAGGTGTGATGGATAGAAGAATTGGAACTGGAATGTCCTGCACAGAGTCCTGACCTCAACCCTACTAAACACACTTGAGATGAATTGGAACACTGATGGTGAGCCAGGTCTTCTCATCCAACGCCAGTACCTGACCTCACAAATGGGCAAAGATTTCCACAGACACCCTCCAAAATCTTGCGGAAAGCCTTTGATTCCACAAAGGAGGTAATTCCGTATTAATAGCCATGGTTTTGGAACGGGATGTCCTAACAAGACACGACACAGTTTGACTAGTTTGGTGTTGAGGAACTCCAGAGCCCTGACCTCAACCCTACTGAACACCTTTGAGATGATTTGTAAAGTCGATGGTGAGCCAAATCTTCTCATCCAACATCAGTACCTGACTTCACAAATGGGCACAAATTCCCACAGACACCCTCCAAAATCCTGGGGAAGGTCTTCCCAGAAGAGTGGAGGATATATAGACGCAAAGTGGGCAACTCTATAATAAAGGCCATGGTTTTGGAATGTCCATCAAGCTCATACACCTAGCGTGTGGTGGTCAGGGGTTCGCATACTTCTGACCATACATTGTATATGAAAGGATTCAATGAATTTTGAAAATATGTTTACATTTCCTAGCCAAGACTTTTCACCGACATACAACTCTCTATGGGAAGTGAGCAGCAGAGGGTCAGAGAAACACCGGCCAGAATTCAGAAATGACATTTTTATACCTTTTCATCAATAAAATAGAATCAGTGATACATAAAGGTACCCAAGTAAAACCTAATAAAGATTAATAATAATAAAGTGCAGCGCTAAAATAATTAATAATAAATAAATAAATAAATGATGTGACAGTTCGTGGTAAAGTGCTTGATACAGGAGGTGATGGTGACTTCAAACTTCAGTGGCATGCCAAAAGGTATAGTAAAAATACACACTCACCAGATGCGTATTTTAAATACGCATGTAAAGTATTATAGCCAGAGGTCCCCCTCTCAGGATGGAATGGATGGGGTGTTCCATTTACGGACTATCCTCCCTCTGGGTGGTATACAACTTTAACCACCTCCCGTCCGGTCGTCGTATATAAATGGCTGGATGGTGGCAGTGCAGGGGCAGGTGGACGTTTATAAATGGCCTCCCCGCACCCTGCTTGTGCGCGCTACCTGGGAGCGCGCAGCACCGCGATCCAGTGCCCACAGTGAAACACCGGTCATCGGACGGGACCTCTGTACGAGGCCCCGATCATGTGATCACTGATTGGCCAGTCAGTGATCACATGCAAAGTAGTAAGCAAGATGTCACTTCTGACATCATTGCTTACTGCGTGTGAAATCTACGAATGATCACAGAGGTCACATGGTACAGGGCTATTCACAACAGCATTGTACCATGTGACAAGCTGTGACCAATCACAGCTCACTCAGTACTTCTCAATGACTGCAGGAATGCAGCCAGAGAGTAGGAGAAATGATTGCTTTTACACCCTTTATGGGTGTAAAAGCAATCAGTGTAAAAAAAAAAATCTTCATCACCCCCCACAAGTAGTACAGTGTCACCATGGTGACCCTACTGCTAGGGTGACAGTATGTAAAAAAAAACGGAAAAAAAAAAACGAAAAAAAAAATAATAATATAAAAAAAAAATAAAAATGTAAAAAAAGTTTAAAAATTATAATTTTTGGTTATAAACAAATTTGGCTTATTTTTTTTTTTTTTTACTAAAAAGATAACAAAATAAATTTTGGCCGAGATTTATGATGAAATATTATTTATTTGCAAAATTTTATAAGAAAAACAAGTTTTTTCAATATTTTTGGACTTTTTCATTTACATAGCAAAAAAAATTAAAATCCCAGCGGTGAAAAATCACCACCTAAATAAAGTTTTATCTGTCTCAAAAAAATGGTAAACAATTCATCTGGGTACAGTGTTGCATGACCGCGCAATTGTCGTTCAAAGTGTGATAGCGCTGAAAGCTGAAAATTGGCCTGAGGGGCAAGGAGGGGGGGAAAGTGTCCAGACTGGAAGGGGGGAAAGTGTCCGGACTGGAAGGGGGGGAAAGTGTCCGGACTGGAAGGGGGAAAAGTGTCCGGACTGGAAGGGGGGGAAAGTGTCCGGACTGGAAGGGGGGGAAAGTGTCCGGACTGGAAGGGGGGGAAAGTGTCCGGACTGGAAGGGGGGAAAGTGTCCGGACTGGAAGGGGGGGAAAGTGTCCGGACTGGAAGGGGGAAAAGTGTCCGGACTGGAAGGGGGGGAAAGTGTCCGGACTGGAAGGGGGGGAAAGTGTCCGGACTGGAAGGGGGGGGGGAAAGTGTCCGGACTGGAAGGGGGAAAAGTGTCCGGACTGGAAGGGGGGAAAGTGTCCGGCCTGGAAGGGGGGAAAGTGTCCGGACTGGAAGGGGGGGAAAGTGTCCGGACTGGAAGGGGGGAAAGTGTCCGGACTGGAAGGGGGGGAAAGTGTCCGGACTGGAAGGGGGGAAAGTGTCCGGACTGGAAGGGGGGGAAAGTGTCCGGACTGGAAGGGGGGAAAGTGTCCGGACTCTAAGGGGGGGAAAGTGTCCGGACTGGAAGGGGGGAAAGTGTCCGGACTGGAAGGGGGGGAAGTGTCCGGACTGGAAGGGGGGGAAAGTGTCTGGACTGGAAGGGGGGGGGGAAAGTGTCCGGACTGGAAGGGGGGGGAAGTGTCCGGACTGGAAGGGGGGGAAAGTGTCCGGACTGGAAGGGGGGAAAGTGTCCGGACTGGAAGGGGGAGAAGTGTCCGGACTGGAAGGGGGGGAAAGTGTCTGGACTGGAAGGGGGTGAAGTGTCCGGACTGGAAGGGGGGGAAAGTGTCCGGACTGGAAGGGGGGGAAAGTGTCTGGACTGGAAGGGGGGGAAGTGTCCGGACTGGAAGGGGGGGAAAGTGTCTGGACTGGAAGGGGGGGAAAGTGTCCGGACTGGAAGGGGGGGGAAGTGTCCGGACTGGAAGGGGGGGAAGTGTCCGGACTGGAAGGGGGGGAAAGTGTCCGGACTGGAAGGGGGTGAAAGTGTCCGGACTGGAAAGTGTCCGGACTGGGGGGGAAGTGTCCGGACTGGAAGGGGGGGAAAGTGTCCGGACTGGAAGGGGGGAAAGTGTCCAGACTGGAAGGGGGTGAAAGTGTCCGGACTGGAAGGGGGGGAAAGTGTCCGGACTGGAAGGGGGGAAAGTGTCCGGACTGGAAGGGGGTGAAAGTGTCCGGACTGGAAGGGGGGGGAAGTGTCCGGACTGGAAGGGGGGGAAAGTGTCCGGACTGGAAGGGGGTGAAAGTGTCCGGACTGGAAGGGGGGGAAAGTGTCTGGACTGGAAGGGGGGGAAAGTGTCCGGACTGGAAGGGGGGGAAAGTGTCCGGACTGGAAGGGGGGGAAAGTGTCCGGACTGGAAGGGGGTGACAAAACTCCCAAATGTAAAACACCTTCCGTCATACAACAGACTAGAGTCGTATACGGTAAAAGAAAATCAATATCTCAATGGAATAGACTCCCTCCACAGTTGGTTGTGGCCAATCAGTGGATTGCTGGAGGAAAAGAAATGTCATCTCCAAACACAGAAAGGTTTCTTCACAGTAAGAGCTGTGAGAATGTGGAATAGACTCCCTCCAGGGTTGGTTGTGACCAGCTCAGTGGATTGCTGTAGGAAAGTCCTGGATTCTTTCTTGGATACACAGAATATAACTGGATATAACATTTATAGGGAAAGGTGATCCAGGGAATATCTGATTGCCTCTCGGGGTGTCAGGAAGGAATGTTTCCCCTGCAGGAGGAGATTGGATTGTGCTTTGCTGGGTGTTTTTGCCTTCCTCTGGATCCACTGTGGGTGGAGGATTATAACTTTTTTTATGGTTGAACTGGATGGACTTTTGTCTTTTTTTCAGCCAGACTAACTATGGAACTATGTAATTCACTAGGATGAGCAATAAAAGACAAAACTTTACTATGTCATTTGTTTTATAGCATAAACGTCATCACAGCTTTTTGTATTTCTAACTAGGATGTAAGTCTGGGAAAGAATGAAGACTTTGTAGCACACAGTAATATATGGGACTCCATGAAGGCTTTCAGAAATGTTTTGATATCTTAACAAAAAAAAAAATTAAAAGGTTTTTAATCATTTTGCATTTGTTAGCGCATCCAGATAAAATAATTATTTGTTTTACTGTTTGTACAAATTTAATTTTTATAGAGCATTATTTTACTCTTTCTGCAGAGAACTCATAATGGTTTTGTCACAAAGTTACATGTTTAGTTGTAAAGCAAAGATATTATATAAAGAGGAAAAAAATCAGCAAATTAAAAAAAAATTATAACAATTATTGCTAATATACATTATATTGTATGTGTGTATCTATAGAGAGAGAGAGACACTATAATTGCCAGACATATTGTCCCTGCCCTCCAGATCATGTGATTCAGGTGTTCCAATCCCCCTCCAGATCATGTGATTCAGGTGTTCCAATCCCCTCCCAATCATGTGATTCAGGTGTTCCAATCCCCTCCATATCATGTGGTTCAGGTGTTCCAATCCCCTCCCAATCATGTGATTCAGGTGTTCCAATCTCCTCCCAATCATGTGATTCAGGTGTTCCAATCCCCTCCCAATTATGTGATTCAGGTGTTCCAATCCTCCTCCCAATCATGTGATTCAGGTGCTCCAATCCCCTCCCAATCATGTGATTCAGGTGTTCCAATCCCCTCCAGATCATGTGATTCAGGTGTTCCAATCCCCTCCATATCACATGATTCAGGTGTTCAATCCCCTCCCAATCACGATTCAGGTGTTCCAATCCCCTTCCAATCATGTGATTCAGGTGTTCCAATCCCCTCCATATCATGTGATTCAGGTGTTCCAATCCCCTCCACATCATGTGATTCAGGTGTTCCAATCCCCTCCATGGACACAGGTGTATACAATCAAGCCCCTAGGCATGCAGACGGCTTCTACAAACATTGGTGAAAGAATGGGTCGCTCTCAGGAGCTCAGTGACTCCAAGCGTGGTCCCGTGATAGGTGGCCACCTGGGCAATAAGTCCATCCGTGACATTTCCTGGCTACTAAATATTCCACGCTCAACTGTTAGTGGGATTATAACAAAGTGGAAGCAACTGGGAACAACAGCAACTCAGCCACCAAGTGGTAGGCCACGTCACATGACAGGGCGGGGTCAGCGCATGCTGAAGCGCACAGTGCGCAGAAGTCTGCAGAGTCAATAGCTAAAGACCTCCAAACTTGGTGTGGCCTTCAGATGAGCCCAACAACAGTGCGTAGAGAGCTTCATGGAAAGGGTTTCCATGGCCGAGCAGCTGCATCCAAGCCTTCCATCACCAAGTGCAATGCAAAGCGTCGGATGCTGTGGTGTAAAGCACGCCGCCACTGGACTCTAGAGCAGAGGAGACATGTTCTCTGGAGTGACCAATCACACTTCTCTGTCTGGCAATCCGATGGATGTGTCTGGGTTTGGCGGTGGCCAGGAGAACGGTACTTGCCTGACTCCATTGTGCCAAAAGTTTGTGCCTGACTCCATTGTGCCTGACTCCATTGTGTAAAGTTTGGTGGAGGGGGGATTATGGTCTGGGGTGTGTTTTTCAGGGGTTGGGCTTGGCCCCCTAGTTCCAGTGAAGGGAACTCTTAAGGCGACATTTTGGACAATTTCATGCTCCCAACTTTGTTTGGGGATGGCCCCTTCCTGTTCCAACATGACTGCGCACCAGTGCACAAAGCAAGGTCCATAAAGACATGGAGGAGCCAGTTTGGGGTGGAGGAACTTGACTGTCCTGCACAGAGTCCTGACCTCAACCCCATAGAACACATTTGGGATGAATTAGGGCAGAGACTGCGAGCCAGGCCTCCTCCCCCGACATCAGTGCCTGACCTGACAAATGTGCTTCTGGGAAGAATGGTCCAACCTTCCCATAGACACCCTCCTAAACCTTGTGGACGGCCTTCCCAGAAGAGTTGAAGCTGTTATAGCTGCAAAGGTCGGGGCCAACTCAATATTGAACCCTACGGGCTAAGACTGGGGGGCCATTAAAGGTCATGTGTGTGGAAAGGGCGGGGCCAACTCAATATTGAACCCTACGGACTAAGATTGGGGGGCCATTAAAGGTCATGTGCATGGGAAGGCCGGCCAACTCAATATTGAACCCTACGGACTAAGATTGGGGGGCCATTAAAGGTCATGTGCATGGGAAGGCCGGCCAACTCAATATTGAACCCTACGGACTAAGACTGGGGGGCCATTAAAGGTCATGTGCGTGGGAAGGCCGGCCACCTCAATATTGAACCCTACGGACTAAGACTGGGGGGCCATTAATGTTCCCAATACGTTTGGCAATATAGTGTGTGTATATATATATATAGACAATGCAAGGCCTTTCCACAATACAACATTAGCTAGGGATTAGAACTGACCCCGGATTCACCAATTTGCAGTTTGAGAAGCCCCCGACTGGCTTATTGTGACTGGAGAATACGGTGTCTTAAGTTTTCTCAAGATTTGCTGGTTCCGGATCAGGGCCTGGAGCTTGAGGGTTCTAAAGAGTCTGGGGTGGGCAAGAAGCTTCAATCCTGGGTCTGGGCTTTGCTGGACACCTGGAGCCTGTGTGTGAGCGCAGAGGTGTATGGGGTTGTTATAATTCGGGTCTGAGAGCAGCTCAGGGCAGTTGTTGCAGTTGCTGACAGAGCCCAGAACTGGGTATTCCTGCCAGAAGCTGCATCCCTTGTGAGGGGGACTTCTTGCCTAAGGTGAAAGTAGGGATGACTACGTGGGAAGACCAAGAGAGTGTCTAGGAGGCCAAAAAAGTCAAGGTGGCTAGTGGGTCCAAGGGGCTGGAGGAAGTCTGGAAGTCCTTGGAGGGGTGAGCAAACCCAGGTGGGCTGGAGAACCCTAAGGTACTGCAAACACGAGGCATATGGCTTGGCATTTCCATTTGATATCTGTGTAAAGCTCAAACCCCCTGCATGGGAAACCTTGTATTGGAAGGACTTTCATTTTTCCTTCCAGGCCCTTAACTCCTATGGTCCGAGAAATACGTGGCCTCTTGGTGGGTGAGCCTTGGCACTGAGAGGCCTCATAGTTGCGTACCCAAATGTACCTGTGCTGAGATTGTGTGCTCTGCGCGCTTCCGGCACAATTACTGGTGCCTAACACAAAGCTTGCTGATCATGTGACCCCAGTGAAAGCCAATCACGGTGATCACATGACCATAAATCCTCCAGGAATTACAAACCTCTTAAGGGCTGGGAGGACGCGGCTTAAGGGGTTAAACAAAGTTCCATCTGCCATGGACTTCACTAAACAATGCATCTACCAGTGAGCAAGACCCCCCCCCCCCCCCCCGATCACAATTATACACTCACCGGCTACTTTATTAGGTCCCCCTGCTCAATGGATCGGTGACACAAATTGCTAATCAGCCAATCACACGGCAGCAACTCAATGCATTTAAGCATCTAGACATGGTGAAGACAACTTGCTGAAGTTCAATCCGAGCATCAGAATGGGGAAGAAATGGGATTTAGGTAACTTTGAACGTGGCATGGTTGTTGGTGTCAGATGGGCTGGTCTGAGGATTTCAAAAACTGCTGATCTACTAGAACCATCTCTAGGGTTTACATAGAATGGTCCGAAAAAGAGAAAATATCCAGTGAGTGGCAGTTTGTGTGGAGGAAAATGCCTTGTTGAGGTCAGAGGTCAGAGGAGAATGGGCAGACTGGTTGGAGGTGATAGAAAGGCAACAGTAACTCCAATAACCCCTCGTTACACCCAAGGTATGCAGAATACCATCTCTGAATGCACAACACGTCCAACCTTGAAGCAGATGGGCTACAGCAGCAGAAGATAACCCCGGGTGCCACTCCTGTCAGCTAAGAACAGGAAACGGAGGCTACAATATGCACAGGATCACCAAAGTTTGAAAATAGAGGATTGGAAAAACATTGCCTGGTCTGATGAGTCTGGATTTCATCTGCGACATTCAGATGGTAGGGGCAGAATTTGGTGTAAAACAACATGAAAGCATGGATCCATCCTGCCTTGTATCAATGGTTCAGGCTGGTGGTGGTGGTGTCATGGTGTGGGGGATCCATCCTGCCTTGTATCAATGGTTCAGGCTGGTGGTGGTGGTGTCATGGTGTGGTGGATCCATCCTGCCTTGTATCAATGGTTCAGGCTGGTGGTGGTGGTGTCATGGTGTGGTGGATCCATCCTGCCTTGTATCAATGGTTCAGGCTGGTGGTGGTGGTGTCATGGTGTGGTGGATCCATCCTGCCTTGTATCAATGGTTCAGGCTGGTGGTGGTGGTGTCATGGTGTGGGGATCCATCCTGCCTTGTATCAATGGTTCAGGCTGGTGGTGGTGGTGTCATGGTGTGGGGGATCCATCCTGCCTTGTATCAATGGTTCAGGCTGGTGGTGGTGGTGTCGTGATGTGGGGGATCCATCCTGCCTTGTATCCATGGTTCAGGCTGGTGGTGGTGGTGGTGTCATGGTGTGGTGGATCCATCCTGTCTTGTATCCACGGTTCAGGCTGGTGTGGTGTCATGGTGTGGTGGATCCATCCTGCCTTGTATCAATGGTTCAGGCTGGTGGTGGTGGTGTCATGGTGTGGGGGATCCATCCTGCCTTGTATCAATGGTTCAGGCTGGTGGTGGTGGTGTCATGGTGTGGGGGATCCATCCTGCCTTGTATCAATGGTTCAGGCTGGTGGTGGTGTCATGGTGTCATGGTGTGGGGGAGATTTTCTTGGCACCGGCAAGGTGGACCTAATAAAGTGGCCGGGGAGTATGTATGTAAAGACACCACCAGCCGAACATTACCTGCTCAGCTTATAAACAGACCACTGGGGCATAATCAGTTTTTTCCAATCTTCTATTCTCCAATTTCGGTGAATTGTAGCCTCCATTTCCTGTTTTTTTTAGCTGACAAGAGTGGTACCTGGTGTGGTCTCAGCTGACTGGAGTGGCCCCTGGTGTGGTCTCAGCTGACTGGAGTGGCCCCTGGTGTGGTCTCAGCTGACAGGCGTGGCCCCTGGTGTGGTCTTCTGCTGTTGGACATGTTGTGCGTTCAGAGATGGTATTCTGCATACCTTGGATGTAACGAGGGGTTATTGGAGTTACTGTCGGCTTTCTATCACCTCCAACCAGTCTGCCCATTCTCCTCTGACCTCAACAAGGTATTTTCCTCCACACAACTGCCACTCACTGGATATTTTCTCTTTTTCGGACCATTCTCTGTAAATCCTAGAGATGGCTGTATGGGAAAATTTAAGCAGATCAGCAGTTTTTGAAATCCTCAGACCAGCCCATCTGGCGCCAACAACCATGCCACGTTCAAAACTCTTACCCAGTCTGTTCCCAAAGCCCCCGTTATCCCCTCACTGGGGGTCACCATCTTGCTCCTTGCAAAACACAGACAGGATGTAAATAACGGCCCACATACCAAGGACCTGTGTCTCCTTGTGATAGTCATATATCACTGCTCTCAGCATACGCCTGTCACTGGGGGGAGTGGTTGGAGATAGGGAGGAGGGTTTAGCTGCTGACTTTTCAGTAAGTCACAATCTGCATGTGAGTGAGAGTGCTGATTAGTCAGCTTAGACTGTGGATTGGTGTTTGAACTGGATGGCAAAGGTTGGGTCTACATGATCGGGGAGTGGAAAGGTTCACTTTATAATGTGGTGAGTTTTCCCTCGAAGTGTGCAGCGGATTACCATTCCCACTTCCTGCTGTCGTCAGGACCTCTGAGGATCATTTTCTGTACATCTCTCTGCACACACCACACACATGGATCCTGCCCTGGGGTGATTCCTCCCCGAATTTCTTCTGAAAACACTTGGAGCCACAAAGTGATGATAGACTGAGCAACTCTCCCCGAACTGAGCACCTCTCCCCATACTGAGCGCCTCTCCCCGGACTGAGC